TGTATTTCTCCATGCCTTCATCTGATGGGCAAGACCAACTCCTTGTTGTCGTTGCCGGGTAGTTTCATCCACGTGTCTGCCTCTTGCGCAAGGCCAATATGCATGGGACCAACATGATGGATGATCTTGCGCAGGGCGCCGTCCATCCTTTTCCTGCTCTGTGATCTGCCACGGCGTTCACTGTGGGCAGACGAAGCACGTGATGATGTGTCACTCTGTTTTGAATGCGTGGATCCTTCACGCAGCTGCTGCTGCTTCTGCTGACGCTTCCAAAAACTGCCACTGGACTTGCAGAACCAGAAAGACATACCGTTCTTTGTACCACACGAACAAAACCACGGCGTCATATTGCTGTGATGCTGGAGTAGCTTCCTGACCGATGCAGATACTCTCACGACAGCTCTATGAGTCGCTCGGAGACGCCGAGCTTTCCTGTGCCAGGCGGGCTCCGCCTGGCGGAGTGGGCGAAGGAGCGCCTTCGCCGTGGCGCAGCCCGCTATGGCAAGGCCGCGAGGGGTCACCCTGCGTGGCGACGGGCGCGCGGTGGGGGGGCGCCGCGCCCCGTTCGATTAGGGCAACGCCTCCTCCTCGTCCTCCTCGTCCTCGTCCTCCTCGTCCTCTTCCTCGTCGCGCACCGTGTGAAATCTAGGCCCCCCAGATGGGGTCGGAGTAGATGGGGTTGGAGGATCGCGCCGCATCGGCGATACATCGGCGATGCGGCGCCCGATTTTCTCCATGTCGATGGCGCCGATGCCTCGCCGACTTCGCCGATGCATCAGGGATGTATCGCCGATGCCTCGCCGAGACCCGATCTACTCGGACCCCTATTCAGGAGTCTTCTAACACTTGCACAGTGTGGATACTACGTTCCTCGCTCCCCTGACCCTGCCCCGAAGATGTCCCGCCCCCCGCCGAGTCCTGATTCTGTTCCTCATGATTCGGCCGAGCTGGTTTTTCACTGGGCTGTTCGAACCCGGTCGTCTTCACTTGTGCAGATGCTGGCCCAACCCACGTCAAGCCTTGATACGCGTGTTGCTCGAACGCCTCGGCGCCTGGCCCCACAGCTGGCCCACGGAGCCAGCAGAGCCCTCCAGCCCGCCAGGAGGAGCACCATCCTTTGTGAGGGTCGCCACCTTTCGAGGGCCCAGGCGCCTGGGCCTAAAGCCATGATACCAGCAGCCACATTTGCGGTAACAAGACAAAACACAAGTTTACAACCTCAAGCAGCAGCCGCATCAGCGGCAACCTTATCAGCCCAAGAGCACAAGAGAAATTGCCATGAAAACAACAACAACGACAACACCACCAACGACGACGACAACGACGACAACAACAACAATATCATCAACAACAACAACGACAGCGTTACAACCATGTGAACAGCAACGACGACATGACTCGCAACTGCACAAGCAAAGCCAGCAGAGATCTCGGACAACGCACTCCTTATGACATGGTAAGGGTTCTTTCTGGTAGAGCATCTATTGGGAGCGTTTGTTCTCGTTGCAGCGTGGGCCTCATTTTCGGATCCGCGCTGTTTCCCCATCGTTCAGAATGGCGCTCCCGCCCCAGCACGGGCCACTTTGCTGGATCCCACAGGTCTTGCGAGTCCTGCATGTTTCCCAGTTCTCACAGGCCCCATAGGTCCCACAGGTTCCACAAGACCCACGGTTGTCGCAAGTCGTCCCACAGGTGTGACGCGTCCCATAAGTGTTGCAGGTTTCGCATGTCCCACGTGTCCCACAGATGTCGCGTGTCTCACAGGTCCAGCAAAGGCTCCCCAGGCCCCGCAAGTCCTGCCAGTGCCACAGGTCTCGCAGGTCCCACAGGTCGTACAGTTCCCACAGGTCCCACATAAACTACAGGTCACACAGATGTCGCAGGTTTAACAGGCGCTACAGGCAATACAGGTCGCCCATGTCGCACAGGTACGAACACTTGTTGTTGTTGTTGTTGTTGTTGTTGTTGTTGTGTTGTGTTGTGTTGTGTTGTGTTGTGTTGTGTTGTGTTGTGTTGTGTTGTGTTGTGTTGTGTTGTGTTGTGTTGTGTTGTGTTGTGTTGTGTTGTATTGTGTTGTGTTGTGTTGTGTTGTGTTGTGTTGTGTTGTGTTGTGTTGTGTTGTGTGTGTTTGTGTGTTCCGATGGCGCATAACACCGTGCTTCTCGTTTGTGGGGTTCCAGGTCGGCTACGACATGCGTCCGCGGATAGAGAACCCCAGCGCAATGGGAAGGGATGGGAGGGAGAGATAGGATGTCAGATATGGCGAGAGCGCACACAGCAAGTCCCTAGCCCCTCTCTTCTCCTCTCTCTCCTGCTTCTCCCTCGTATTCCTGGTCCTCCACCTTCCACCCCCTCCCCCTGTTCCTCCCCGCTCCACCCCGATGTGTCTCCCCCCCCCCTTCATCACCAATATGCCCTGTTCTCCACCCCGTTCCGCCTGCCTCGGTCCTCCTCCCCGGCGTCGTCTTCCCCGCCGTCGCCCCCCCCCCTCCTTCGTCTCTCCTTCCTCCTCTTCGGTCCTCTCCCCTCCTCTCCTCCCGCGCCTGGCCGTCGGGATACCTCCGTGTACGTGCCGAAGTGCTGCGGGCCCCCCCCCCACGGGCACAGACCCCGATTCAGAGCGCACTCGGGGAGCTAGGGCAACTTTTTATCCCTGTCGATTTCGGCGAATCGTGACCCGTGCTCCTGATGAGACCGCCGCCGCCGCCGCCGCCTCTCCTCCGGTTTATCCACTCTTCCTCGCCTCCTAGCATTTCGGACTCGCCTTTCCTTCATCCTCCTCCAGGCGCCTTTTTGCCACGGCGCACGGAGGTTTCAGCCAGACTCCAGAGGCTGGCAAGTGCGCGTCCTACGATGCCTGTGGCAGTTCTTTGAGGGGTTCTGGGGCTCTTCATGCAGGTTGACCCAATACGCACATCCAAATTGCACGACCAGCACGTTACGAATGCCATTCAGCCAGTCCGTGCAGACAGGCAAGAGTCAAGGCATACCAACGCTTGGAAAAGGCGGAGGATGGACTGTCTGCTTACGGGGCGTTTCCTCGGTGGGGGGATATCCTTCATCCCCAGCTATCTGTCGACCAATCAGCACACGTCGAGCGCCAGCTACTATCGGCCCAAGCATTCTGCACGTTGGCCGCTGCGCTTTTGTTTTCCCGTGGCCCCGATTGGGCCAGAAGGACGTCCCCAAAGCGCCAGCCAGTCGTTGTTCCCCTTGCAGCGGGAAGGCCGCGGACGGCTCATCATTGCTAGCGTGTTGCTGACCGCTGGAGGCGCTCGGTTGGCTGCAGGTCATGGCGGCAGGATGAGGATGGCGGAGGCATGAGGAGGTGCAGGGAGATGGGGGAGGAAGACAGGGAGGAGAAAGAGGATCCGTTCAACACCAGCCGCCGAGGTTGCAGCAATGACGCCAGCGTGTAGATCCAAGGTAGACGCTGTCCAACTCGCCAGATCAGTACTTCGGCCACGCGCAGAGGGTGGCAGGGGCGGGGGGCAAGGCTTCTTAGAAACTCACCTGTTTCGAAGAAGGCGCGGCCCTTGTCAAGTCTGTAGATGTAAGGCCCGCGCCTTCTAAGAAGCAGCCTCCTTCTACGAAGCCTTCCCCCTTCACTCTACCCCCTTGTGCGCGCCGGTAAGTCATGCCTTCTGCGTCGATTCCGGCGACACAGCTGGCGTTCGGGCGTTTCTATGATAGCAGTCGCTGTCACTGTGGCTTCTTCTGGGGCGTCATCGGCTCCAGACACCCCTCGAACACAAGGCGCCCACACTGCAGCAGCAAGCACAGGCTTCTGCCCCCTCCCCTCAATCGCCTCACCATCTCCCTCCTCCTTATGGTTCCCCCCTCCTCCCGCATTTGGCACAGATTTCCATCTGTGCTGGCGCCAAGGGTGGATATCTAACATGTTGCCAGCGGATTCATCACACGTTCAAATGCATGCAGGAAGGGAGGGTATGCAACTCGCGTTCGGCACGCGAGCATGTGAAACGTGTTTTCACGTGTGTGAGTGCCGATGGGGGGATCCAACAGGTATCCTGTGGGTGAGCGGGGTTCTCGGTTTTCGTTTGACACACGTGCAGTTGGCTTGTATTTCCACGTATGTAGGCCCTCATCACGAGCGGCGAACATATCCGTATCGCCGTATCCGCGCCTTCGGGGTTTGCATTCCAGGGCGCGAAAAAATGCCCCGCATCCGCGGGGTGCGACCCAAGGGCCCAGGCTGCGAGGCCACGGATAATTACGCACATGTTTTCCGCACGCGACCTCAGGGGACCAAGATCTCCGACGTCATGATTTGTTCAGAGCGTCGAACCCCAGGAGTCTTGACCCATTCCCCGGGGGCAGTTTTTTTCATCCTGAGTCCTTTCTGACGGTCCCGGGGCCCTGCGAGGGCCCTCAGAGGCCAGAAATTGCCAAGAGTTTTCCACTGTTTTTTCTTGACCTGAGCATTTTCTTTGGGTGGAGGGCAAAGGGTGAAATCTGAAATGTCGTTTCAATGAATTTTCGAGGCTTGAGTCTGCAAAAGGCGAATCACAAGACGGATTGATTTTCGAGGTGCAGAAGCCCATATGGATTCCACCTTGAGCCCTCCACCCTAAGAAAATGCTCAGCTGATTCGAGGAGATTGGGGGAGGGAGGGGGTCGGCGAGGGGTGCCCCGAACACTGCAAATAACGACAAACTTTCCGTCGTGGTCTTTGGAGACTCGGGGGGATCAAGGGAGGTATCTCCCCACCCCTGCCCACCGTCATCCCCATCCCTCATCATATTCATCCGTCCTCATCCTCGTCCTCATCCCATCTCCCTCCTCACCAGGTCCTCGTCCCTCCTCAGCATGCCTCCTCCCCATCTCCTCCCCATCTCCCTTCTCCTCCTCCTCTTCCTCCTCCTCCTCTTCCTCCTCATCATCCTTCTCATGCGCCCCCTCCTCTTCCCGGCCTACCCATCCCGCCCCGCCTCCCTGCCTTACGCGCGCTCTTGCCCGGCCGAACTCCCCACGGCGAGGAGCTGCTCCAGGCGGTCGATTTCCCCCACGTGCAGCGGGGCGAGGCACCGGCCGCCCGCGACGCCGCGGCGCCCGCCCCTCGAGGGCGGCGGGGGTCCTCGGCCCCCTCGCTGCTCTCCTCCTCTTCCTTCTCCTCCACTGCTCCTCCTCCTCCTCCTCCTCAATTCCTCCTCCATTCCTTCTCCTCCTCCATTCCGCTCCCTTCTGTGAAGATTTCCTCCCTGTCGAACCCCCGCACGTGTCGGCAGGGCGGGCGGGTCGCCCGAATTTGTTCCTCACCTCGCATGATCCTGAAGCTTGAAGTTTGCAACGGCTTCCGGGAGGGAGGGCGATTCCTTGTCAAAATTCGGTTCTCGCCGCAGCGCCACGCACATTCGTATTGGATGCTTGCAGCAGTCTCACTGACTCGCATGCTGGAAGTGCCAGGAGCGGCTGTCTGGCGCGATCCGGGATGGCCAGGACGCAACAGTCACGTTGTTCGCGGTGTTGAAGTCCCAGGAATGGTGCTTCGGGACCATTCAGGAGCGTGAAGACGCAACAGTCATTTTGATTCGAGGTGCTGAAGTCCCGGGAGTGCTAAATTGGCACGATTGAGGACTACCGGACAGTAGCCTTCCAGTGGGACGCTTGCCGTACGTGATGAGAAAAATTGTTGCAACGATGTCTTAATACGGAGTTTGAGAAAGGGTTCTAGCAACATTGTTGATGCGTCTTGAGCTTACACTGATCCTCCTCGTCCTCCTCCTTTTCCTCCTCCTCCTCCTCCTCCTCCTCCTCTTTATCCTTCTCCTTCCCCATTCTGGGGCCCCTTTTCCATCGAGTCCACCATTCCAAGGACAGCCATTCTGAGGCACCGTGCATCGTGAAAGGGGCTGGTCATGCCCCACTTGCGGCCGCCTCTCTGAAAGCGGCGATGGCACAGCAACCTCCCTTATTGGGGTGGAAACCGCAATCGTGTACGGGCGGCAGGATAGACGAGGTGTTGGTGGAGACGCCGAATGTTGGATCTGATTTTGTTAGCTGGAACTCAGGTGGTGGATCGGACGCAGCTGTGTTTGGGGAACTGCTATTTTCCGGTGACGTATCCTAAGAAGATGTGTTGTTGAGGTTCATTTCGGAACTTGCGCCGCGTTGAATAATTCGAAAGCTGGTTGTTTGGTCATTATCGGAAGAGGTTTTCGGGAACAGCAAATCTTTCATACGTGGGCTCTGTCTGAGGCTGAGGGGCGATGGCTGGGGAGTTTGTATTAAGAGGGGAAGGAATGACTTGTGCGTGTGTATATCGATGTCCCTCCGAAACCATACCGTGTCCAGCATCGCCCATACGATCTTCACACAGTCCGAGTTTTCATCGGTTGGCTACGTGAGCTTTTGTATTCGTTACCGCACAGGGCCACTATGGTTATGTTCTGCGACGCCAGCGATGGCATTGACGTTCCAGCGGGAGGAAGTGCAGTGATTGACACCACGGTTGTGCAGGCTCCGTCGCAGGATCGTTTCCGACAGGGTGCAGGTGACCAGCTTCGCGAATTATTAGAATCGCGTGATATGGTGGCGACAAATGCGCGTGGCGACTATCCCTACATGCTGCAGGATGGAGAAAAGCCCATAATCGATTAGTTGTTCATGCCGAGAGGCATGGCGAGTCTAATTGCGCATGCCAATGTTTTGCGCCGCAGTGGCGCTCGGTTTGAAGTCCTCAGAGGCCGGAGTCCACGGGATCTTCTGTCTATTTGGTGCACTGTGGTGGTGCGCGCAGGCCATCGTCGGCCCGTCGGTTGATCAGAACCGCCCTCGCTGGTATCGCGGCAAATTGATGTCGGAACTCCTTCGAGGCAACGGGAAGTTTCGTTTTCGCGAGCCCGTGCAGTCCCAACTTGACGCACGTGGAGCGCATCATTCTGATGAGCTTCGAGGGCTCCATCGCGACGGCAGGCCAAACTCAATGTGGCACGGGCTCTTTAGGTAGCGAACCCGACCGGCAAGTTTAACGCAGGGAGCGACATCGCCGCCACCAGCGCGCTGATCTTCTGCGGCGGAAAATGGGTGCTTCAGTTGAGGAAGCCCAGCACGCATCGACGAGGAGCTGAAGAGCATCTCGCAGCATCAGCGGCTGCTCCGACGCCAAGCTGCGCGCGCCCTCCAGTCTCAATTGGCGTCGGAGGCCTCGGTCCTTTGCAACCGGTCAAAGCAGGCAGCGGCCATGAGATTGGCGCGGTGGGCGGCGCGGACGCGTATCAGACCAAAGAAAAGAGGTGCCCTGTTGGCGCGCCCAGCTCCGCAAGCGTCACTCGCGCGATTAGTGGCGCGGCCCGTGGGCGGCGCGCAGGGCGGCGCGTCAGTTCGCCTGCGGGGCAGGTCTGAGTGGCGCGCTGGACGGCCTGCCCAACAGTGCCGGTGGGAACCTAGCGAAGAAATTACCGATGTGTGCACGGAGGATGTTGGTCGATTTTCTCGACGGATGAAACGCGCTGCAGAACGGCGAGCAGTTTCAGATTTGCCCGGCACTTTTGGAGCTGCGGCTGATGCTCTTTCTCCCGAAGGAGAGCTCGCAAGCACCTGCGGTCAGGCATCGGTGGCAGTTGCATTCGTGGGTAGAAGTTGAGTTGAAATCCTTGTGCGCGCGGTGATCGCGATGCATGGGCTGGGCACGTGCTGTCTTCTGCTGATTAGCTCCTTTTCAAGGTTGGCATGAGCGTTAGTATTGCGTCGCTGCCCTCGTGTTTCTGCTGGGCTTGCTTCAAGATTGTTGCCGACATTGCGGCGCGGCGCAGAGTGAACGATCGTAATTGAGGGTGCGGGTGTGCAGCAATATTTCGGCCTCTGGCTTTCGGCCGAGTAGTTGTCATCCTATGACTGCCTGAGCGCGACGCAGTTGGCCTGCCTTTTGCACCGTATTTACCATTGCCGAGGTCGGCGAAGCCAGTTCTTGAAAGTTCGGCTGCTTTGGATGCGTTCCATCTTCCTACTTCGACTGGAGTTGTCCAAGATGTGTCTCTGTGTGCGAGGTCAATGCGGAAAGCCTGGTATGCCGTCGATGAGGGACTGGTTCGCTCGCGTGGTGTATGCCGCGTGGTTTGGCACGCTGGATGGGCGCGTCCACTGTGCCCGAGAGGTTGCCAGGCTCGTCTTCTGCCTCTGCCGAGTTGGCGTCGCTCCTGGTGTCTCCCTGTGCTGTTGGCCTGGGGGGTCTTTGCGTGGGCGGGCATGGCGTCGGCTGTCCGCACTGGGGGCTTCCGTTCGCTGTGACTCTGCTTGGGTAGAAGCTGTGCTGCTTGGAGATGATGGTGCGTCGCTTGGTCGGGTAGGGTTCGCGCTGGGGCTACCCTTTGCAGCGCGCGCGCTGCCGCGCGTTCTTCGGCTTCCCTGCGGCGTCAGTCAGGGTTGAGAAATCGCAGGGGTCGCGACGCCACTGCATGCAACATGTTAAAGCGCGGGTAGGTCGCCGGCCAATCTGGCCGCGGAAATGGTTTTAGCCGCGTGCGCGTAGGTGCTCGGGCGTCGAGCGTCGATGTTGCCGTGAATGTGGCGAGGTCGCACGCTCGCTTATTTCGTGGACCCTCCTGTCGGCGCTGTCCTGGACGCAATTCTGGCTCTAGGGAAACGGAAAAGGAGCGAGCCTGCGGCTCGCGCGCGCGTCGGCCGGCGGGCGGGCCCCCTCCCTGCAGTGTTGCCTTAGTGCATGCTGGGCGGCAGCATCCTTTCTTCCCCGTGTCATCGGCGGAGCCTGACCATGATATTATCGGAACATCTTGCAGGGATTAAGAATCTCCAGGCGAAAAGATTGGTTATCAGCCGAAACGACGGCTCCGCCGCTAGTTTCGCAGAGCATGCGATCACAAGAAGGAGCGCTCGGACGAATGGAAGATCGATGCCCTTCCGAGCGCAATGAAAATGCAGGTGCCTCAACGAGGCGACCAAATTCTCTCAACCTCCCAGGCAGCAAGCATCAGAGACTGTGTTTGAATTGACACAGGGGGATTCGTCAGTTGATTCGGCGACGGCCCAGAGCGCAATCCTCGGGCGGAAGGCATGGCACAGCCAAAACTTCCGCCGAGGGGCCATCTGAGTTGGTGTCGGCACACCCGGGCGTTCAGCCATCGATCGACTTAGACCTTGCAATGGAGAAGTTGTTGGGCCACGTCCCCATAGGAATGTCGGGCGCCGACAGTCTAGGCGCAGGGCGCGCGGCGCAGTTCGCGCTGCGTGGGCAGGGCGAGAATGTGAGCGCCTTGCAACCGGAAGAGGGCTGTTTTCATTCGATGGAAAAGAACAAAGAATATGCCCGATCCCACGCCTCGCCTGGCCCATCGCATCATCTCGATCCTCTCCCCGGTCGGATTGTCGGGCTCGCCTCGGGCTCAGACCCGTTGGTGAGTGCGATTATTGACCATGTAACGGTTGAGGCCAGTCAGAAGGCCATTCTTCATTCGGATGACGATCTCGAAGACGGAGGAAGCCCAGACCGAGGCGGATGCTCGTCGGCACAGCCGATGTCGAGCTACCCAGACGTCATGCGTGCAATGAGGAATACGCCAGAAATTACAGGCATGGTTCCCCATCCATTCGACGAAGAAGCCGAAGGGTGAGAACGATGAAGTACATACTTCGCCCTTGTTGCAGGGCTTCCACCGACCAGACTTCTCATTGCCAAGGACTAACAGGGACAGAATACCAGAACTTGTTTAGCTCGTAATGCAAGACGAAAGAGACGATTTAGCACAGAGTTGGGGCGCCGATGTTATAGGGGTGTGAGAACGGGAGACCAGCGCACGCCTACCTCCAGTAGTGCATGAGGACGTTACAGCAAGGCCCCCTGGGCCGGACGTTCCAGTTCTAGGGGGGTCGACGCCCTTGGATCACCACGGCTGTCGTCGAATAGAACCTCCAGCAGCTTTTCGACACGGGAAAGTAACTGGAAAGCCGGGGCCACATGCCCGTCTGGCGGGAATCGACGCCCGGGGAAGGCGCACAAACCGGGGGGTCCGTGTCGAGGGCCAGTGTGTTCACGATGTTCAGATGTCTGTCCTAAAGTGTATCTAGTCTCGCATGGCTTTGTGAGGAGTGCATCACGATGGAAGAGCACAACTGCCATTGTATCGCAATCCAAGAATGGGCGGAAAGACGTAGACAGGATCGAAAGCAGCTGAGGGCTGCGAGTGCACACATACAACAGATCGTCCTTGAGGCACAGGAAGATGAGAAGGCCGCCGAAGAGGCTTAACGCACGCTTGCAAGTTCGAAGGCGGAGGCAGGCAATGGCACAAAAGGTGGGGCATGATTGGAATAGTCGCCAGGGCACAGTCGGCTCTCCTCTAGAGGAGGGGCGTCGGGGCATCAAATTCCCGCAGTTCAAGGGAACATAACCGTCGATTCTGTGGATTCGCATTGCTTCGTCAGTGATGTTGGCGTTCTTTGCAATGACGTGGTGGCGATTCCAGGTCGGCGAGGCCATCGAGCACCTCTCATTCGCCAGTTGCCCAGAGATGCAAGTGGGCGCCTAAACGTTGGCGGTGGAAGCGCGACCGCATCTACCGCCGCATGTTTTCGGTTGTGGTCGCCCCCTACATCGGCGCCCTCGTCGTCATCCCGTCGCCCTCCGTTTCGTTTTGTCTTTCAGTTTTGTGGCTTAAATCCCCCGGCGAAGATTCGGTCGTTTGCCTTCCAGGAATGCCGCTCACGAAAGAAACCAGCAAGGGTGTGTCTGGGCACGTCATGTCTGATTGCATTTTGCACTGCCTGAGATCATTGTCTGCAGCGCTATTTTATGGTCGACACCTTTTGGTTGGTGCGCGTCATGCTTGTCACAAGTTTACAAAACCCGATGCGCTATTACCCGCGTCGAGCAAGTCGGCGCGGCGCGGGCATTGTTGGGCGCTGTCTGTCACGCGTTTGGGTCGGGAAGACGCGCCAGGGCAACGCGCCCCTATCGGCGGCAAGGCACGAGGGGATGCGGGGCGGTTCATTTCGCGCGATGCGCCGAGCGGGAATAGCTGCACGCTCACGCCCGCGACCGATGATGTAAGCCCAGCTTTCCTCCGCATGTCACGCGCCGTTGAGCTTTCGACCATGTCGACGTTCGCCATGGCTCTCTGCGCGAGCTCGTTGAGCATTGCCGAGCGAGCGACGCGTTCGCCGTGTCGACACCATCCAGCATTGCTGCAGCGCGCGCATGGAATGAGGTTTGACAGCGACGCGATGTAGTAACCATACATTTGTCCGGCGACGGCACCGACTAGGATTGTGTCGATGATGCAGGTGGTATCAGCGATTGCGTTGATGGCGATGGCGGTCGCATGAGGAGGAGGAGGATGAGATGTCGGAGGAAGAGGCGGCGTTTCACCGCGCGGTACTTTCCAGCGTTTTCGTTGTCTTGGGGCCGTCGCGCGCTCCTGCGGGGCAATCTCGGGGGAGCTTCGGGGCATTCCTGGCCCAATGTGGAGCTCTACCTCTCGGGTCATCTTTGAGATCCCTCGGGGATATGTTGTAGCCCCGTTGCCGTGGGACCTCTTGAAGCCATAGTGGAGCTTTCCTGCGCCGTTGAGGGAGCATTCCAGGCCGTCCTGATTTCCTTGGGCGCCATGTTGGGCTGGTCGAGGTTGTTGTTGTTTCCATATTTGGCTGCGCGGGGGTGTCATGTGGCACTCTTGCGGCCGTTGGTTTGGGCATTTTGGTACGATCGCAAACCCTGTCGGGCCGCCAAGGGGGCATTTCAAATTATACTTCGACATGTTCTGCGCGGCTTCTACTTCAACTTCGCTGCCTGTTTTTGCGAATGCGACTGGGGCTACGCCCGCCACTGCGACTTCTTTGATTTTCTGATGTGTCATGCTCATTGTTTTAATTGTTGCTACTACTACTACTACTACTACTACTACTACTACTATTACTACTGCTACTACCATTACGATCACTGGTTCAACTACCGCGTATAACTCTCAGCGCAACTTCCTTGGCCGACACAAAGACAGAGCAAACGCAACCACATAACTTGATATAAAAAGGGGCGCTCATCATACTACTGCTGATATTGTTCCTGGCCCTCCCCTTCCCCCTCGCCCTGATACGACAGCGATAAGCATCTTTATTACGTGTGCGGCCTCTATTCCGACTTCGAGCATTACTACTAGTGTTACTATTACTACTACTACTACTACTACTACTACTACCACTACTACAACTACTGCTACTACTTCTGCTAATACTACTACTAGTACTACTACTACTACTGCTGCTGCTGCTACTACTACTACTACTACTGCTACCACTGGTGTTACTAGTGTTGCTATTACAACTACAGCAACAGCGGCGACTACTACTACTACTACTACTACCACGACTTCCACTAGTACTACTACTGCTACAATTATTGCTACTATTTGTCGTATTACTACTACCACCACTACCACGAATACCGCTACGCGCAGTCCCAACTTGACGCACGTGGAGCGCATCATTCTGATGAGCTTCGAGGGCTGCATCGCGACGGCAGGCCAAACTCAATGTGGCACGGGCTCTTTAGGTAGCGAACCCGACCGGCAAGTTTAACGCAGGGAGCGACATTGCCGCCACCAGCGCGCTGATCTTCTGCGGCGGAAAATGGGTGCTTCAGTTGAGGAAGCCCAGCACGCATCGACGAGGAGCTGAAGAGCATCTCGCAGCATCAGCGGCTGCTCCGACGCCAAGCTGCGCGCGCCCTCCAGTCTCAATTGGCGTCGGAGGCCTCGGTCCTTTGCAACCGGTCAAAGCAGGCAGCGGCCATGAGATTGGCGCGGTGGGCGGCGCGGACGCGTGCCAGACCAGAGAAAAGAGGTGCCCTGTTGGCGCGCCCAGCTCCGCGAGCGTCACTGGCGCGATGGGTGGCGCGGCCCGTGGGCGGCGCGCAGGGCGGCGCGTCAGTTCGCCTGCGGGGCAGGTCTGAGTGGCGCGCTGGACGGCCTGCCCAACAGTGCCGGTGGGAACCTAGCGAAGAAATTACCGATGTGTGCACGGAGGATGTTGGTCGATTTTCTCAACGGATGAAACGCGCTGCAGAACGGCGAGCAGTTCCATATTTGCTCGGCACCTTTGGAGCTGCGGCTGATGCTCTTTCTCCCGAAGGAGAGCTCGCAAGGACCTGCGGTCAGGCATCGGTGGCAGTTGCATTCGTGGGGAGAAGTTGAGTTGACAAATCCTTGTGCGCGCGGTGATCGTGATGCATGGGCTGGGCACGTGCTGTCTTCTGCTGATTCGCTCCTTTTCAAGGTTGGCATGAGCGTTATTATTGCGTCGCTGCCCTCGTGTTTCTGCTGGGCTTGCTTCAAGATTGTTGCCGACATTGCGGCGCAGAGTGAACGATCGTAATTGAGGGCGCGGGTGTGCAGCAATATTTCGGCCTCTGGCTTTTGGCCGAGTAGTTGTCATCCTATGACTGCCTGAGCGCGACGCAGTTGGCCTGATTTTTGCACCGTATTTACCGTTGCCGGGGTCGGCGAAGCCAGTGCTTGAAAGTTCGGCTGCTTTGGATGCGTTCCATCTTCCTACTTCGACTGGAGTTGTCCAAGATGTGTCTCTGTGTGCGAGGTCAATGCGGAAAGCCTGGTATGCCGTCGATGAGGGACTGGTTCGCTCGCGTGGTGTATGCCGCGTGGTTTGGCACGCTGGATGGGCGCGTCCACTGTGCCCGAGAGGTTGCCAGGCTCGTCTTCTGCCTCTGCCGAGTTGGCGTCGCTCTTGGTGTCTCCCTGTGCTGTTGGCCTGGGGGGTCTGTGCGTGGACGGGCATGGCGTCGGCTGTCCGCACTGGGGGCTTCCGTTCGCTGTGACTCTCTCTGATTGGGTAGAAGCTGTGTTGCTTGGAGATGATGGTGCGTCGCTTGGTCGGGTAGGGTTCGCGCTGGGGCTACCCTTTGCAGCGCGCGCGCTGCCGCGCGTTCTTCGGCTTCCCTGCGGCGTCAGTCAGGGTTGAGAAACCGCGGGGGTCGCGACGCCACTGCATGCAACATGTTAGAGCGCGGGTAGGTCGCCGGCCAATCTGGCCGCGGAAATGGTTTTAGCCGCGTGCGCGTAGGTGCTCGGGCGTCGAGCGTCGATGTTGCCGTGAATGTGGCGAGGTCGCAGGCTCGCCTATTTCGTGGATCCTCCTGTCGGCGCTGTCCTGGACGCAATTCTGGCTCTAGGGAAACGGAAAAGGAGCGAGCCTGCGGCTCGCGCGCGCGCGTCGGCCGGCGGGCCGGCCCCCTCCCTGCAGTGTTACCTTAGTGCATGCTTGACGGCAGCATCCTTTCTTCCCCGTGTCATCGGCGGAGCCTGACCATGATATTATCGGAACAGCTTGCAGGGATTAAGAATATCCAGGCGAAAAGATTGGTTATCAGCCGAAACGACGGCTCAGCCGCTAGCTTCGCAGAGCATGCGATCACAAGAAGGAGCGCTCGGACGAATGGAAGATCGACGCCCTTCCGAGCGCAATGAAAATGCAGGTGCCTCAACGAGGCGACCAAATTCTTTCAACCTCCCAGGCAGCAAGCATCAGAGACTGTGTTTGACTTGGCACAGGGGGATTCGTCAGTTGATTCGGCGACGGCCCAGAGCGCAATCCTCGGGCGGAAGGCATGGCACAGCCAAAACTTCCGCCGAGGGACCATCTGAGTTGGTGTCGGTACACCCGGGCGTTCAGCCATCGATCGACTTAGACCTTGCAATGGAGAAGTTGTTGGGTCACGCCCCCATAGGAATGTCGGGCGCCGACAGTCTAGGCGCAGGACGCGCGGCGCAGTTCGCGTTGCATGGGCAGGGCGAGAATGTGAGCGCCTTGCAACCGGAAGAGGGCTGTTCTCATTCGATGGAAAAGAACAAAGAATATGCCCGATCCTACGCCTCGCCTGGCCCATCGCACCATCTCGACCCTCTCCCCGGTCGGATTGTCGGGCTCGCCTCAGGCTCAGACCCGTTAGTGAGTGCGACGATTGACCATGTAACGGTTGAGGCCAGTCAGAAGGCCATTTTTTATTCGGATGACGATCTCGAAGACGGAGGAAGCCCAGACCGAGGCGGATGCTCGTCGGCACAGCCGATGTCGAGCTGCCCGGACGTCATGCGTGCAATGATGAATACGCGAGAAATTACAGGCATGGTTTCCCATCCATTCGACGAAGAAGCCGAAGGGTGAGAACGATGAAGTACATACTTCGCCCTTGTTGCAGGGCTTCCACCGACCAGACTTCTCATTGCCAAGGACTAACAGGGAAAGAATACCAGAACTTGTTTAGCTCGTAGTGCAAGACGAAAGAGACGATTTAGCACAAAGTTGGGGCGCCGATTTTATAGGGGTGTGAGAACGGGAGACCAGCGCACGCCTACCTCCAGTAGCGCATGAGGACGTTGCAGCAAGGCCCCCTGGGCCGGACGTTCCAGTTCTACGGGGGTCGACGCCCTTGGATCACCACGGCTGTCGTCGAATAGAACCTCCAGCAGCTTTTCGACACGGGAAACTAACTGGAAAGCCGGGACCA